GTAATCAATAAATGAATATATAAAATAGTATAATCATTGCTTTTTTCCATTCATCACAGTAATACTTTCTCACGTTTTCTTGCAGATTCCTCACATTCATTTTAATTTTGTTTCTCTGTTTCACTGATCATCTCTGCTCTGTCTTTCCCACAGCTGCAATGATGATCTTGCCTTTCTACAATGATCTATCTTCCGGAAATATATTTTATATTTTTATCTAATTAGGAACATGTGATATGTTTTCAGTTGCACTTCTTTCAACGATTCCGTATATCAGACTTTCAAATTATGTTATCCTATTAATACTTTCGTCTCCAACTGTTAAAATTATCCCACATTCTATCTTTATTATCCCGTTCTCTTAATAGCCAATACCCAAGATACACTTTCTTTCAACTTTTACCCACGAAAAATGGCTGGATTTTTTTTTCACAAAAGTTTGCATAATTTTCCTTCACATTTACTCAGTCTCTGTTTTTGATTAACAAATCTTTTCTCATGCCCTCCTAATGCTCGATCTTTCTTGAAGGTAATATATAAATACGGAATCTCGATTGTGAAACATTATTTTATTTCAAACACGAAGGAAGCTTTTGTCAGATCTTCATTAATCATCCAACCTGACAGGTTGACAGGGAGACTCCATTATCTACAACTCCCTTACCATGTATTCTATGCTTTTAATAGATTTTTCTCTCAGTTCATGTGTTGATGTATATTAACCTAGTGCTTGCGTGAAGAAGAGTGGGTTTCCTCATGGGCAGAGTGTTTGGAAAATTGGAAACTAATAGAAAAATATATAAATTCATATGCAAGAATAATCATAACGTCAGTTGATTCAGTTATGCGTAAGTATCCGCTTAAGTAAAATTAAACGAAAATTAATCCAAGCGCTTTCGTGATTCGACACATTTTTTCCCTCTGTATTCATTGAAAATCTGTTAAATCAAGAAAGCCCTCGGACCAATATACATATATTGGTCCGAACACATATGTCTCTTCATATACATTTGTGCGTAAGTACGCACAAATGTATATGCAGAGAATATGTCACAATAACGTGCCTGAAACAATGTAGCTCACACATGCAAAATGAAATTAAAGTGACGACATTTCTGTCTATCGTGGACTCTTGTGAAGTCAGGACGGACCGAATCGTCCCTTTCACTTTATATGTGTTAGTTGGGTTAGAAATCTATATAAATTAGCAAAATATTCACATAATCTACAACAGATCTTACTTTCAAGAACTATATATATCAATAGCTGTATTCCGCTTCTTGGCACATTTATACTTAAAGTTTACTGAGATCTTGATCTATGTTCAGGATTAAAATAAACTTACTGGTTAACCAGTAAGATATTATGGAAGCCATAATAACCCTCCAAAGATTGACAGGTCCTAAGCCCATTATCAAAGAAAATTTTATTTTGATGACATAAATTTCTATCAATGAACTAGATCAATCCCCAAAGAATGACTCAACTTGCAAGCTCCGGTGAGGTTCAGCCTTCACAGTGCACGCAAAACAGACAAGATTTTACAACTGACCTTCAACAGGAACCAAAACGAAATTGCGTGAACAGCATGGCCTCTGATGCCAGTATTTTGAACACATCAACGAATCTATGCGCCTCGTGCCATCTCTACATTGGCCAGGGGCTGGAAACTACTAAGTAAACCTCGACAGTGCAGTAAATCGAAAATAATGACACTGAAAAGATAGTGTGGAATGTTCAGTAATCTCTTGGGAGCTATGCCCGGAATGTCAGTGTAAAGAGAGTTAAACCTCTGGCCTCCTGATATCATGTTGCAAGTTGTGGACATGGTGCAAGAAGCTGAAGATATCTTTAAATATAATATATTGGTTTCATTTATTTATGTACGTACTCCTGGGATTTACAGATCCCTAGATCAGTATACACTGTGTACCACAATTTGGCACATCCCTGGAACGTATTATTTAATGGCTATAGAAGCATAAAAATTAATTCGAAAATAACGTCAAGAAAAAGGCCCAATCTATTGATGTATCTTGATAGGAGAGAATGTTTATCGGTCCAAGGACGGAGGCCAGATGCTTGGGGCTAGCCTCGCCCAACGTTCACTAATGAACAAGTGGAGTAAGGGAGTGTTGTACGCTATTCAGGGTAGGCTACAGTGTTACACTTTAAGAAATATTATCATCTAACATACTCCTCCCACCCCCCACCCCCCTCCCCCCCTAACCCCCGCCCCAAACACTTGTGCAATTTTCATTATCATTTTGAAATATTGGTTGCATTGTCCGTAGACTTATTTGACAGTTTCACTACTTCGTAATATATTCTTTTCAGAGGGGAAGAGGGGGAAGAAACGGAAAGGATGTTAGAAAAGGGGAAGGAGAGGGGAGGAAGGAGAGGGAGAGGGAGAAAAATGGCGAGAGGCCGAGAAATGAGAAAGGGCCAAATTGGGAGAGAGGGAGATTGGGATATGGAGAAATTGGGAGAGACCCAGGAGCAGCCGGGTACTACCTCAAGAAATTAATATTTGGATCCACTTAAACAAACCCAATCACCACTGGGCAACAACTCCCCGCATGACGTTTTGCACCAGAGCCGACATGAACCTGACCCTGGCTAACATCCTAAAGCTTTGTACACCCATCTCACCTATCATTGTCTTACTCGTGTGTATATATTGACATTAAAAACATTGCATTATTTCCGAGGATGTGTTGCCATGCACACACGCTTTCAAGTAACTTATGTTTCATTTTTCTTAGTGGTTATACTCTTTCATTTATTTTTAAATTTATTTATATATTCATGTATGTCCAAATATAGCATTACATCATTCATCATGTATACCATTCACTAAGAGGTTTCCGTCTTCTTTCTCTAGTGATGCTGCATATCTCTCTCTCTCTCTCTCTCTCTCTCTCTCTCTCTCTCTCTCTCTCTCTCTCTCTCTCTCTCTCTCTCTCTCTCTCTCTCTCTCTCTCTCTCTCTCTCTCTCTTTCTGTTACATTTCGTTTTTACTATGTGACCAGCGCACAATGTGTATACTTTTATCTTAGAAAAACCCACCAACCCACCTACCCAGTAGACGTAAATACATTTCAGAAAAATACATTCAGAGGGTATGCTTGTGTTCCTGAAATACCAGATAAATTATTTTTATTATGTGTTGTGAAGATTTTTGTTATGTGTTGTGAAGAAATCATAGGATTAAACAGCCAGAAATAGCATACCCTATTCTTGAAAAGTTATAGGAGCATTCAGTCCCTTCTGTTTGATTCAACCCTTAAAAGTAACTCATTTCCATGAGTCTCTACTCCCTTTTGTTGAGTTAACTTGCTTTAACTCAAAACTAACTTAATGCACAAGTGTGAACCATTAAGTTGAATACTCATAATCTACATCATCTACTGTCAGATCGATGTCCCCAGCTCGTATAATTTTATCTAAGAAATAGGAATAGGAAAAACCAATAAACAAAGTCAAACAAACATACTCCAGCATAAAATAAAATATAAGGAAAATTGCAACTCCAGATCTGGCAAACACTAGCAAAAATACCCTGCAATTGACACCAAGATAATCGCAGTTCATTGCACTAAATGTTATAGAAGCCGTACATAGAGGCGGCAAGACTCAAGAAAATGTATATAAGTAAGGCGGAGTTTTGCAGAAATGTTTAATGGTGACTTGAACGTGAGTCGACGTGTCCACGAGGCAGTTATAACAACTGTGGTGAAGGTAGTGGTTGAGGAGTGGCGGGCCTGGTGGTCTGTGTGTGTGTGTGTGTGTGTGTGTGTGTGTGTGTGTGTGTGTGTGTGTGTGTGTGTGTGTGTGTGTGTGTGTGTGTGTGTGTGTGTGTGTGTGTGTGTGTGTCTGTGTGTCTGTGTGTGTGACATCCTGCTGTTACAGTGGTGTTCATCCTGTTGTTACAGTGGTGTTCATCCTGCTGTTATGGTGGTGTATATCCAGTGGTTAGAGTGTTGTGGTGGTTGGATTGTTTTAGTACTTATGTGGTGATTGGGTAGTGTGAGAATGATGATATGGTGAGGGTATAATGATAATGTCAAGATGATTGTTTTGTGTGGGGTTATGGTGACTGTCGTGTTGGTGTCATTGTGATTTGTGTAATGTTGATGGTGATGGTATCGAGTTAGTGGTGAAGTGATTGATGTCAATATTCTAATAAGTGATAACGAAAGAGTGTAGGACATTATTTGCTTTGATTCAATCATACATACATACACAGAAACACACGCGCACACACACACACAGACGCACACACACACACACACACACACACACACACACACACACACACACACACACACACACACACACACACACACACACACACACACACACAAAAGGGGGTAGAAAGAGCAAACAAAGGGGCCACATGTAGAAACAACACACCCAGATAACCTACAGAGACAGAAGGAATAATTCCTTATAGCTTCTCAGGTGCCAGTTAGAAACCTAGTGATACAGCAAGCGTTTCCCCTCCGGATCACCACACTTCGGCGACGCTGAAACAGGAAACTAGCAGCCCCTAAGTCTTATGCCATGAGCCCTAAGGCCAAACTCTTGAAAATGCACTTGTCCCACTTTCTCTCGGTACCATGAGTGATTCTATGGAGACGAATGTACACCAGTATCCCAAATTTCTTGCGATTGTTAAATATAGCTGCTAGCCAGTGGTGTCCTCTGCTAGCTTAACCAACAGTGGAGGAGATAGATCAGCCAAGGTGGATACAAATATAAAAATCACACCTCGCAAAAAAATTACATATGTGTAAGTATCCACTAGGAAAATTAAACGAAATTTCCGAACGTTTCCGTGTTTCAACACATCACGAAAATGTAGTATTTCTGTATATATTTGATAATGTCTTGAAACATGAAAACGTTTGGAAACTTCGTTTAATTTTCTTAGTGGATACTTACACATACCCGAATCACGTAGTTTTGTTATATATATATATAATTATTTCACTCACCTTGCATTTTTTCTCAGCAAATATATCATCCACATAATCAAGTTGCTCGATAAGAACTTTCTCACCATGTCACTAACTCAGTCGCACACATTTTCTAAAGAGACGTCATTGTTTATATAAATGAACTTTATTCCGAATGTATCAAAAGCACCACTGGAAGCAACACGACCGAGGCTTGGTGACGGAGCCACAGGAAACACAGCTCACCCGGACGGTGCCGCTACCACACTGAGCGGTTGGCGCCGGAACGCTCACCTGCTGGGTCACGGGACTCGTGCACAAGTTGCCAGCACTCCCGAATGTCATGTTTACCAGGGTCGTCATGTTTGTATTACAATGGGTGTAACGTAAAATCCGTGTGGTAGGTGGAGGGATAATCTCGAATCGGTTGCAACTCGCTCTCGTACAAGACAGCACATATATGACTTATTGCTTATAGTCACTATTTCGCTTATAAATAAGTACATATGTGACATATTCCAAGCCATATTTTTTCCAAGGCACTAACTTTTTCTCCAGAGATCATGTACTGCTGATTTGGAGATTTGCGATATTCAGATAGATTCATGGTATGAGAAAGTATTCAGTAGCCCTATAATTTTATCCTGAAATGTTATATATTATAAAATAACAGGACAGTTGGGAGAACTCAGTGAAACAGAGGATGGTTGAAGCCTTATTCCCTGCAGCAATGTCACAACAAGAGATCGCCCACCTCGCAGCTGGGAATGCCTCTCATGCAGGGGACTTGCATTTTCACTAACCCCCGTCTAACCCTATTTACCCTTATTGCAGTGCCCCAATTTACACTAAGTATAAGTGCATTTGCAGTAACATACAAGCCAACCATTATGGAGTACATGATCTGCACCATGGAAGTTCCAAGAATGGCATTAAAACATAATTAAGTTTTAGAATCATCTAGAGAAGATTTACCAGAGACCAGCAGAGAGACAACCTTGATTTCATCATATTTAAAGTCCTGGGTCTTTATATATACATATATATATATATATATATATATATATATATATATATATATATATATATATATATATATATATGTCGTACCTAGTAGCCAGAACGCACTTCTCAGCCTACTATGCATGGCCCGATTTGCCTAATAAGCCAAGTTTTCATGAATTTATATATTTTCTCTATTTTTTTTCTTATGAAATGATAAAGCTACCCATTTCATTGTGTATGAGGTAAATTTTTTTTATTGGAGTTAAAATTAGCGTAGATATATGACCGAACCTAACCAACCCTACCTAACCTAACCTAACCTATCTTTATAGGTTAGGTTAAGTTAGGTAGCAGAAAAAGTTAGGTTAGGTTAGGTTAGGTAGGTTAGGTAGTCGAAAAAACAATAATTCATAAAAACTTGGCTTATTAGGCAAATCGGGCCTTGCATAGTAGGCTGAGAAGTGCGTTCTGGCTATTAGGTACGACATATATATATATATATATATATATATATATATATATATATATATATATATATATATATATATATATATGTCGTACCTAGTAGCCAGAACGCACTTCTCAGCCTACTATGCAAGGCCCGATTTGCCTGATAAGCCAAGTTATCCTGAATTAATATATTTTCTTTAATTTTTTTCTTATGAAATGATAAAGCTACCCATTTCATTATGTATGAGGTCAATTTTTTTTTATTGGAGTTAAAATTAACGTAGATATATGCCCGAACCTATCCAACCCTACCTAACCTAACCTAACCTATCTTTATAGGTTAGGTTAGGTTAGGTAGCCGAAAAAGTTAGGTTAGGTTAGGTTAGGTAGGTTAGGTAGTCAAAAAACAATTAATTCATGGAAACTTGGCTTATTAGGCAAATCGGGCCTAGCATAGTAGGCTGAGAAGTGCGTTCTGGCTACTAGGTACGACATATATATATATACATATATATATATATATATATATATATATATATATATATATATATATATATATATATATATATATATATATATATATATATATATGAGATAGAGAGACAAAATATATAAATGACGGGGTTCTATCTCTGGGTTTGTAGGGAAGCTCAGCAGCACCTGGGGGAGCCTTATGGGGCTCCAACATGTAGTCGCATATTGTCTTCTACCATCCCCTTTTTTCTGTAAATATTTTGTTTAAAACGTTTTTACGCAAGATAGATTACAACAGTGCTTACATAGACGGTAGAAAGTTAGTTGTAACAGACTGTCAAATTACACGAGCTTCTTGGATAATTGAGATGGAACCAAGAATGCAGTGTGTGTGTTTTACCTCTGTATTGCCACGCTGAAGCGCTGGGAAAGTAGGCTGGCAGCTCTTGGGTCTCACGTTGTTTCCATAAGCTTAGTAACCAAATCATTAAAAAAACAAGAGGCCCTTTTACCCCAGACACTAAGTATCTCTGAAGCAATGAGGCAAAACTATTCTGATGATCCAGTTTTCTGTATTTACAGGACTTGACGTATTCCCTTTAAGTGGTAATACCACCCGGATGCCCAACATTGAGACAATTCAGATGTTAGTCAAGGATGATACGCACGTGTAGTCCTGCTCTAACTGCCAACCGTTCTCTCAGTGCTGCACCGTGATCCCATCTGGGAGACCAGGAGGACTGGCAGAGCTGCGGGACATTAGGTAACGGGGCTCTCTCTCTCTCTCTCTCTCTCTCTCTCTCTCTCTCTCTCTCTCTCTCTCTCTCTCTCTCTCTCTCTCTCTCTCTCTCTCTCTCTCTCTCTCTCTCTCTCTCTCTCTCTCTCTCTCTCACTCTTAAACACCCAGCCATGATGAGGCAATTCTTAATGATGTCGTTAACTTCACTGTGCCTCGAATGCCATCCCTCCCCTGTGCTTTGTCCGACCAGGCCATGCTCACAGTTTCTGTCAGCCTTAAATGCACCTGTATTCGGTGTGAATTGGCTAAAAAAGGTGTACAGCCACGTGACATCAAATTGTAGGAAGAACCACAGGCAAATGGGATAATAGTGTTAGTACTTTGGCTTCGCCAGGAGCTTCTTCAGAGTAACAGAAATTCCCAAGATGAGTGCAGTAGTCACTACACCGGAAGTGGTTTCACGATAACTGCCTCAAAGCAACCACCGGAATTTTCTTGCGGCTAATTGATCAATCACAATACATTTTTACGTGTAAGTATTTTCTATATTTAAGTTTGCGATCAGTAAGAATACGGGTGTTAAAATAATATTAAAAGTTAAATTATATCACCATTTACTACCATTATTCATATCGATTATCTTGGAATCAAACAAATTTGGAATAATCGAAAGATTTTCAGAGTTAAAACCCGAATTTCAGCAATACCATTGTAAATGGTATTGTTGAAATTGCAGGAACTGTTGGCGATGTAAGGGAGGAGCCTGTGTACACGAAGTAACAGTGATAAGTTGACCAGACCACACACTAGAAGGTGAAGGGACACAATCGACTTGAGAATGGTCCAGGACGGACCAAAACGTCGCCGTCCCTTCACCTTCTAGTGTGTGGTCTGGTCAACTTACTTTAGCCACGTTATTGTGACTCATCGCCTGCAACAGTGATAAGTGTGGGTAAATAATCAGATGTTACCTGCCCTGGACGTGTGTGAAATTTACTCAATGTCCAACAGTTAGTTACTCCTGCAGGATCCCAGAGTGAGAGTGTACTCGCACTGCTTGAGGAAGTTGAGCTTCAGCTCTTTGGTCCTGCCTCTCGGCCTTCAATTGACTGGTGTTAAGATTCCTGAAATTATTGAGTTCTATTACATTTGAAGCTATGTGAAGCATGCCTACATCAATTCATTCCCTTGTGCATTACATTTATTCTTTAATCTGACAATTAAAACATTATTTATAATGTTCCTGGCACACTTGGTTACTCAATTTCGGTCTGTGTCCCCTTAATCGAATACCCCTACACTTTATTATCTTTCCTTGTCTGTCATGTCTGTTTCACTGAGAATTTTGTATATATTGATCATGTCTTTCCTTCCGCCTTCCAGTGAAGGTAAGCTTAATTACATTAGTCTTTTCACACAGCTTATCCCATTTCTGTTATGGGACAAGTACCTTCTGAACGTTCTCCATCTTCGTTGTGTGTTTGTGTGGGTGGGTGGGTATTCAGTTGTACTCACCTAGTTGTGCTTGCGGGGGATAAGATTCGGCTCTTCAGTCGCGCCTCTCAACTGTCAATCAAATTGATTATAGATTCCTGAGCCTACTGGGCTCTATCGTATCTTCGTTTGAAACTATGTGTGGAGTTGCCTCCACCACATCACTGCCTTCACAAATGGGTGTCTTCAGTGTGTGCATTCGTCTATTTTTTACAGAGTATCAGCTCCTGGAATCCGGGTTTTAGAAACCGGTTGTATGTTGCAATGGCTCGCGACCATCTTGCTTCCAGTAGAACTAAATTTCTGAACGAGGTCCCCGGCAAGGGCAATTGTGCTTCAAACTCTAAGCTAACTTATGCTAAGACTTACCAATTGGGACAAGAAGGCCTTCTTCGGAAAGCTGGTTGAGGCATGATTATACTCCGTAAACTTGATTAAAACTAAAGATCGAGAGAGATAGAGAGTTAACGAGAAAGGAGAATTATAAATGATGTGAGAGAGAGAGAGAGAGAGAGAGAGAGAGAGAGAGAGAGAGAGAGAGAGAGAGAGAGAGAGAGAGAGAGAGAGAGAGAGAGAGAGGGAAGAGACAGAGAAAGGGGGAAAGCCAGAGAAAAGGATGGGAGATAGAGGAAGGGGGAGATATAGATGGTTATCTCACGATGAACTTTGTGAGTTTCATTTACAAGGATATCAATCATAGTATCATTATAATTAAGTATCATAGTATCATTAATGTTTCTGGGAATAACTTAAATCTATCTAATGCATGCAACAGTCGGTTGAACACTGGGAAGTGGTCAAATATCTTGGGAAGCCTGAGAAGTATCAGGATATATTACTTAAAGAAAATCTTTGAATCTGAAGGTGGATCTAAGATCTGAGTAAAGTATGTACTCCTCTACGTCTTTGCAAGTCTAGAAACAAACTTTAGCTTATCTTACTTAACCTAACCTGGCTAAACTTTACATGACTTAACCTAAGAACCTAACCTGGCTGAACCTATCATAACCTAATGTAACCTAACGAAAATAAGAAACCCATTTTCTTAAAACGATAGTGCTTATAGCAACAATTTCGTCAAATGCACAAATATG